CCTCCTCTGGCCCCGCTCCAACAGGTCCATGTCCTCCTTGTGCTGAGGGCTCCAGAGCTGGATGCAGTACTCCAGGTGCAGTGCTCCAGGGATGTACCAGGACAATTGCTGATTATTATCAGAAGTCAGAAATTTGCTTCTTTACTTTAGGTGATGCAGTAACACATATATACAGAATTAATCCAAAAACTAAAAAAAAAAAAAAAAAAAAAAAAGAAGGAAATAAAAAAGAAACAGTGTGCCTGGAATGGCCTTGATAGTGTTTATGCCTTCTGCTGGTGCGGGTGGGAACAGCTACTGGGGACTGGGCATGAGACTAAGTGCATCACTGGTCTGTTCCATAACAGCTCATTCCTCCTCATCAGCTCAGTAAAATTTGTGCCTCTCTCTCACATGATCTGAAGACCTTTACAAGGATTAACGTTGTGATGACTGTAATCTTGATGAAGAATACTTGTGCTGTTGCCGAGATAAGAAACTGAGGCAGCAAGCAAAGAAGAAATTAAATGTTTAATATCCTGTCTCATTTCCCACTGACTGCAGCAGGCGCTGCCTATGGCCAGCACCAATGAGAAAAGGGCAAAGAATGACAAAGAAACTAATTGGAAATCAGGGTCTATTTTCTGAGTCCTGTCCAAACTGCTTCTACTGTGACTAGAATTGGTAAAACTTCAGAGAAAAGCAGATAAAACACATAGTGTGTGTGATAAAAGAGGGGAGATTTCTCTGCCCTTTTCCTCACCACATATTTTAGCCCAGAAGAAAGGGAGGGCTAGATGCAGACCTCTGTGTTACCAAAACATCCTCTGAAGCAAGCCATGCTGCATTTTAGCTGCTAGGAGTATTTCCATCAGAGTCCTGTTATTAACCGCATACATAAGCTCATTTTTGTTCTGCTTACAGCTTTGGGCAAATGAACTGTGTGGTTTGGTGGAGCTGAGGAAAGCACGTACTTCAGGCAGTTCATTTCAGCCCCAGGAAAGCATTTTTGAGACACTTTTTGTGCATTACAGAAGAGCTTCCCAATTCTTCCCTGGTCCAGAATTGCTATAAGCATGGACAAAAGGGAGAAAAAACCTATTTCTTCTCCTCTACCCCCAGAATGATGCCAGAAGTTGACTATGAACCCTACTTCTTATGATTACACAATGACTATTATCTGGATTCAAAAATTCATAGATTTTCCCAGGTCAAGAGAGACTATTTCACCAGCTAGTTTGTTCTTTATCACTCCCATCCAGAATAACCCTGGTAGTTAGGGGACTATTCAGACTGAACTCCTCCCCAGCCTGCTCCAAATTCAAAGACCACAGCTCAGAGATACAGGAGCTCCAGAGCTGTTGGAAAGACTTCTGCAACTCAGTGCGATTAAAACATATCACCCACTCAGGCAGGCAGGGACTGAATCATTTCAAGCACTACCTCAGCAGCAGAACCCAGCTGCTCTTTATTCTGTTCCCCCAATATTTTTTAATTGAATCACTGTAAAGGTTTTCCCAGGCTCACTGAGCATTTTTTAGTTGTTCACCACATCCTGTGGCAACGAGTTCCACAGTTTATGTGGCTTTGGGTAAAGAAGCCACATCCCCTCAAAGACTTTTGTTTTCCAGTGAAGAATTCTGGCACATTTCTTGTTCCTTTCTTGCCATTTCATTCCATGGATCCTGTTTGTTGCCCTTTCTCTCTACCTTTTAAAAATTATTGTAGATATGTTTTACATGTATTCCGTTTACCTCTGGGACTATACTATTCCACTCTGTCCCCTCTGAGTCCTGACCTTCCAGACTCACCTTTCATTGCATCACACTTATTTCAAGCCGGATCCTGCTCCCCTCATTCCCAACAAAACCTTATCACCATAGTTAAAGGATGGAACATCAGCAGAGCTCTACCACCTTCTCACTGTTTGCTCAGTGTTGTTGAGATACTACTTAATCTGTTTTGAACGACACCCTGTTGCTGCCTGCTATCAAGAGGTGTACAAACATGGGATACTCCACACATGGTGCATTCACACTCTGAAGTATTTAGCAAAAAACCATGAGTATCTGTTCTCTCCAAAAGCACTTTTGCCCTATGTCTATTAGTGGAATGGAGCACTATTTGCTACAGCTGAGCCTGCCATTTAGGTTGAGTTATCAAACAGTTTTTGGAGAAGTTTCATTATGAAAGTCCCTGAAGAAGTAGTAACTGCCCATAAATTAAGCAGTCATATTTGCAGTGTGTTGATTCCTCCCAATTTCCACCTGCTGCAGACAACCTATTTTTCACTTGGGAGAAGTGAAAATTGCCCAGCATTTGGGTTTTGTTATTCATCTGCAGCACTAAAGCTTACTAATGATGGCAGGGAGTGGAGAAATACGATATTAACTTGTTTCCCTTCAAAGAAAGAGAAACATAAGAAATAACTCCCTTGCTTGTCAGAAACAGCTGAAAGAAGGAGGAAATCCCTCCTGGCTGGTGAGTAAACTTCTGTTTACTCAAGAGCAAGAAGAGGCATAAAACTGCCTCTTCCCCCCTTTGACTACTTCTGCATGCAAATTTCCATAGAACAATTCAATATATAATTTTTCTGAGGACTTATTTCTCCTCAGAGGGGCTGCAGGGTATAAAATAGGATCTTGAGTCTTTAGGGAGTCTGTAGAGGCTCAGGCATGTGTTCAAGTTACCGTGGCTTAAAAAAATCCTCCAAATGAGCTGAACTACAGTAACCTCTGTAAGCAAGGTAGCTCCACATTCTTCTGTTGCATGTGACACAAATGATCACATATAAAACTTGATTCTGGGACATGAAATATCTTTGTGATCTGTATTTCTACAGTATCTAGAACAATAATGTTGCAGATCCTACTCCAAGATGCCCATGTGGTTCAAAAAATAATAACGGTAATAGTAGGTTCTCTGCTCCTGTTCAGAGACCTCGTCTTCTGTACTGATATTTCTCCTGCCTAAAAGTACTGCATGGAAACAATGCACTTTGGAGTTAAAAGAGGAAGAACATCTTATGGGTTCCTACATTTTGCAATAATTCAACTCTCTTGCCTTTGTTTTGCCCCCTTGCTGTGTTCAGCATCTGTGAACACAGACATAAACTAAATGGTTCCCCAGAGCTCCTCTGGGTGAGGTCCAACACAAGCACGATGTCGATGCTGCAATTGCAACTACGGGTCATGAAAAGCAAGGCTGGCATTGTACTATGGAAAGATTCCAGCCCCAAATTTTCAGTGCTCTGATGATGCCCCTTTCTTTCCTCCTCTACCTCTCATGCCCAGATGTTATGTTCATTATTGTTTTATTCTTCACAGCACTGTTTTCCCTCCTTCTACTGCTAGGTAATGCGTATAATGCTTCAGAAGCAATGATTGCCTTGAGATTTTGTGTTTGTTTTTTTCCATGAGTTTTATGATGGCTTCTTCCTCTTAACTGCTTTAAATTCTTCAGGAGCCTTTATATAACAAGAAATAAGGAGCAAGTGCTGACCCCGTATGTCCACCCCTGTTCAACAATCATCTACAGCCTGAATGAAAAAGAGAATTTGAAGTAAATGAAATCTCAGCAGGACCCAAAATCTGACTCCTTTGCTCTGGAGACAGAATTAAAGTGATAAAGTGAAATAATGAAAGCCAAAGGCAAAAAAGAAAAGAGGGAGGGGAATGATTACTTCATACTCAGCTTCTTCAGACAGTGGAGCCAGGCTATTTCTCACATCAGTATTTCCAATCTCCCTTGTTTGAGTTTTTGTCCCTGTTCTGTTGTAGAACTGTTGGACCTGTTGGACCTAATTCCTGTTGGACCATCTTCTAGGTGTCAGCAGTCCTCAAGGGATTTCCTGCCTGACAAGAATTGATAAAGCTCACTGCTGATCCATGAGCACCTTTCTTCATTTTCATTTTTTCCCATCCAGACTCTGTTGACCTGTTCCCAACCCTGAGGCTAGGAAAAATTGGCACAGGAGTTACTCAGATGCTGAATGACTTTTTTCCTGGGTCACGTACACTTAGCATGGGATTCATCTAATCAAATGTTGATGTCTGCAAATGTATCTCCACTACAAATGAGCAAGTCACCTTGCTCATTTGTGGCTCTGGATATCTAATAAGTAGAGCTTGAGACATAATTCATTTAATTCTCAAAGTAGATCAGATGATGCCTTTTTTTCTCTATGGACATACATGGAAGTAAGGGTGAACATCTCGGCTGTGAATATTTACACTGCAGATGTCTACATTTTATCAGAAAACTCCTGCCTTTAACATTTGGCTCTGTTATACTGACTACACCATGCTAAACATCTGGATTACCCAAAAAAATCAGGACCATGATTTTTACCATGGGATGTTTTGATATTTAGGTGTCTTCTTCATATCGTCCACATACTT